GTCAGGTTGACTCTGCTTTGAACAGCCTGGTTCTGAGGCCTTTTCTTTCCCCTTAAATAAAAATATTTTAAAAGAGACTTTGCGAAGGCAGACATTTGGCATGTTAAAATTGAACTTCAGTTTAGTTTCTAAAATAAATAATTCAACTTTTTTTATCCTTAAAAAAATGATTACAGGAAATGCTTCTAAAATAACTGATATTCCCCTTGTTAAAACTGTGGTTGTTATTGGCTAGATTCCAGCATGCGTTCTTTTTCCTTGGGGTATGGGAGGAGAGAACAGTATGGGAGGAGTATTCTATTCCTTGCCAACACATACACAAATCATAATGCTTCAAATTTAAGAGCAGTTTTTATATGATGGCAGTTTTATTTGGTATATTGTAAAATATGGCCTAGAGATTAAGAACGAAATATTTTCTATATTTAGATCAATTAGAATATTCCTTTTAACTTTCGTGTATGGATATTTTGGTTAACAAAAAACAAAAAAACAAAAAACCTTTGTACTGCAGCAGAAGTACCCTTGCTGCTTAAATCTATTTAGTTCATGTATTTTACATTTCACATGGATGAAGAATGACCGAAATGTCAGTTTCATTAGGGCAGGGATTTTGCTCAGTGCTAAATCCCCAGCTCCTAGAATGGTTCCTGACACATAGCGAGTGTACAGTGAAAGCTGTACTAACAATAAAAACAAAACAAAACAAAACAAAAAAACAAAACAAAACAAAAACAATTAAAAAATGGGCAGAGGACCTAAACAGACACTTCTTCCAAGAAGACATACAGATGGCCAACAGACATATGAAAGGATGCTGAACTTCACTAGCTTTTAGGGAAATGCAAATCAAAACCACAATGAGATACAACCTCACACCTGTTAGAATGGCTATCAACAACAGGACAAGTAATAAGTGTTGGAGAGGTTGTGGGGGAAAAAAGGAACCCTCATACTCTGCTAGTGGGAATGGAAATTGGTACAGCCACTACGGGAAATAGTACAGATGTTCCTCAAAAAACTAAGAATAGTATTATCATATGACCCAACAATCCCTCTTCTGGGTATTTACCCAAAAAACTGAAAACATTTATCCACAAAGATATATGCACCCTGATGTTTATAGTAGCATTATTCATAGTGGCCAGGACATGGAAGCAACCGAACTATCCTAAGATAGATAAATAGATAAAGAAGATGTGGCACATATATACAATGGAACATTACTCAACCATAACAAAAGATGAAATACTGCTATTTGCAACAACATGGTTGGATCTTGAGACAATTTTGCTAAGCCAAATAAATCAGACAGAAAAATTCGAAAACCATTTGATTTCACTCATATGTCGGATATAAAACTGAAAGCAACAAACAAATATGACAGAGACCCATGGACACAGATAGTGGATTAGTGATTACCAGAGGGAAGGGGGAAGGGGAAGGTAGATAGAGGTATAAGGGGTCAAATATTTGGTGATGGAAGGAAATTAACTTTGAGTAGTGAACATGACATATTGCTGAATTGTACACTTGAAACTATTTTGATTTTATTAACCAATGTCACCTCAATAATTTTAATTATAAAAAAAATTATTAAAAGATTTTTAAATACTGTACTAAATGAATGAGCTAACAATTAGACAACCAAAGCTAAAAACTATATATATTACTTTTTACTAAGAAACTTCTTCAAGGGCTCGTAAAAGTAACAATACCTGATGTTTGTCAGGTATTCAAATTAAAGGCTTCCTATATGGTTCCATAGCACCCTGTGCTTCTTAAAAATTACACCGCATCCCTTAACCTAGGTCCTTATGGTTGTATCTACAGTGCCTTAAAAATATCTATACTGCTTTTATATTTGGTTTCATTGGTTAATAGTTCCTTAACTTGGCTCATAGTATCATCCCAGTTTTGCAAATAATGGAACAAAGGTTAAAGAGAATACGTTAGTTGTTCCAGAAAGCATTGGGTCATAAGTAGCAGGGCTGGGACTATAACTTCTAAATATGCTAATTTCTTCATCCCTTGTTCTTTCCAGAACAGTCTTTAAAACATTGATAAGCATAAATTTATCTGCCCCCCATCCCCCACACCCAGTTAAAATTCTCTTTACTTGAGAGTATAAGAGGGAAGTTACTATGTGAAACCTTTTCCTAACTGCCATAATGTCTTCCTTCATCAGCCACAAACTTTGTTGGGTGCCAGTTTGTGTTATTCTTTTCGGTTGCCTGTGATGGGTAGCTATGGTAGATTTTTTGGGGGGGGTGGGGAAGGAGACTAGCCCTCATTATTTCATAGAATTTATATTCTCCCAAACATTTTAAGATGTAAATTTGTTGATACTGTGAATCTAAGTTTTTAAAATCAAGTTTCCAAAGCCGTGAGAGGAACGTTCTTAAACATATTTTTGCTGGTCCTCCTGGTCATTTTGGGATAGAAATTTTAGAGGTGTCAAATTGGCTTGGCAGATATTTCTGGAATCAGGCTTAAGACAGAGAAACCTTGCTGTGACATTAGAATAGAAAAAATAAAATGCTGGCCAAACATTTAAGATTCTCATATGGTGGCAATATCTGGGCATACATTTTGCCAAGGGCAAAAATCAATCAACACACATCCAAGGTTCCAAATAAGACAGGATATTAAAATCTATGAATCTGATCTAAGTTGAATTTCTTTTTAGTCTCTTGAGAAAGAT